TTCCCATCTGATGCTAAGCGGATATCTTAAGGTCTTTATTGGCTGGACTTTGACACGTGCTGCTGACCCATTGTGTTTCCATCAGAAAGGCAGATTAAAGCCACCCGGCAACCCTCCCATCTCCAGGGGGTGCTATCATATGTCTAATCCTTTGATCTCAAGGGATGAGATGATGATTAAGATGATGATGATGATGGTCTTTCACCGTTTGAAAGTGGGATTGAGCCCGATAAGTGCAGCTGTGGACTGGTGGCTAATTGTTTAATGGGCAGGATTATGGAGGCCGGGGGATTTTCAAGACCAAATCTGCCCTCATTGTTCAACAATCCAATGCACTTTGAACACTTTTGAAACATGAAGCACAATGGATGCATTTTCCACCAGTCGTCCCAAACATTTACAAGGGAAATTTGCTAGAAATGTGAATAAAACACCAATAAATTTAAGATAAATGCTGACATTTATATGATCTATAGAGGATACAGAGGGGCACAGTTCCAGAAAATGACAGGAATTATGTGAAAGTTTATCTTTAAAATGTTTAGAAGAAAAGGATTTGGGCTCAGAAAGGAGCCACAGAGGGGTTAAATCTGGATTTTTGTGAGCTCAAAGTGTTCATTTTGGGATCAGAAACTCATTCAGAGTAGCCAATCTTTAACAAATCTGCTGTAATTCAGGGTGAACAGTACCTTTCTAAAGCACTAAATGGTTTCTTGGACTTAATTAATGGTAGAGACTAACTTCCATCTTCTTAAATAAAAACATCATCAAACATTTTGCAGGTATGGAGGTATGGCTCACAAGTTCCACCATGTAGATCTGAGGGCTTTAAAGGAACAGAGTCATGCTTTTTTTAAGTAGAGAATAAAAAAAAAAGAAAGATGTCGGGACGAATCCTCACTGATTATGAATGAGAGGAAATCATCATACAGATCGTAAATGTGCTGAAGGATTTACGGCCGTAATCACGCTGGCCTCATTTTCTGAACGTCTCTCTGGGCATCTGGCCAGATCAGGAGCCAAACAAGGTCAGGAGCCCACGTTTCAATATCAGACCTGTTCCAATATCAGACTGCCATTAATTCCCTCCGTCCACGTCCTGTTAGTGTGGAAAACTAGCCGTGGAGCAGAGAGCAAACATGACAGTTCATCACACACTCATTTTCCATTTTCTATGCTATCACCTTTTTGATGTTTGGGAAAAATCAGAGAGTTCTGTTTTAAATGAGACCTCAAACACACCTCGTATTCAAATGGCTAATAAGCAGTTTTTAAATTAACTGTGGAGATTACTTTTTTTAGTTCTTTTTAGGTTAAATATGTGAAGATTTAAGAGGTAATGCTACTAGAAGAGCTGATACAACTCCATATTGTCACATAGCCCGACATCCTGCTCTATAGAGGAAGATATAAGCTCAACCCCTCCCATCTTAGATAGTTTTAAACAGTTTAATAGTTCTCTCAGATCAAGTTGTTGAGGCAAAACATGAGATATTTTGTGTTCTTGTGTCTGAAATTGAAATCTAATTCAGAAAAATGAATGAACTGATAAAGATAATGTACTTTATCCTATTTCAGGCTTTGATTTAGACCACACATCGTCCGTTTTCCACTTTTGTAGTGATTTTAGATGCGCATGAGTAGATAAAGGAAATGTGTCATGTTTCATTCATTTCAGAGCAGCAATGAGGAAAAATGCCAGGCTTGATCCATCTGTCTTAATCTGGGTCTGCGGTACTCTGTCTGCTTTAGTGTTTGAAGCTTGGTGTTGATTCATTGTTGTGATGGTGCTCTGGTCTCAGGGGGTTGAATCCAGCCCACCATCTGTCCTTTGTAGTCGCACAATTATGTTTCCCCCACTTACACACAAGCCTATAAAACCTGCTGTGAGCACTTAGCTGTCATCTGGGGAAAAATCTATATGAAAACAATGGAAAAAGTTCCAATAAATCAAGAGCCAGTAAAAATAAAGTTCAATTCTGAAAAGTGTTTGTGTTCAAGTGAACGGATATAAGTTTATTTATCATTCCTTTTCCCACGGATTGATCTTTTTTGTACTGATAATCATCAAAAAGGAGCAAACAAACAGGAAAACCAAGATAAATAAAGAAGATCCGACACTTTGAAGGGAAACGCCCAGCTGCCAAAGTGTTAAATGGACAGGAAGCCGATTGTACAAGTCAGCCAAAATCCAGTGTGAGAGCAATTTACAGCAATTAGCCATGTCCATCCAGAACACACATTCAAAATAAGATTACTTTTTAAAAAACACATATCATTAATTGCTGTGCTTTGAAAAATGTAACCACCACAAGAACCCATGTGTATATAATCAAAATATCATTTGTTCAGTTAATATCTTAAGTTCTGCTAATAGTGATAGAGTATTATCATGTTTTAAATATTAAAACTCGAGGAAAAATTGTAAGATTGTCATTAGAAATTTAACCAATTACTATTCTGATTCAGAGATACAACAAGTAAGTAATTATCATTATTCGTTATTTATTAGCATTATTAATTTTGAGCTGTTTTATTCTCCACAGCCATGTGACGGTGGTCATGTTTAAAGCCCCTGTAAGAGCCAAGCACCAAAACGAACTAAAAGGTCCAATCAGCTTCTAAGTTACACTAAAAGGCCCCGCCCTCTTTTCCAAATATGGAAAATATGAATTTCAGTGTTTAACATAAAGTTTAAATGATAAAACACGCGAGGACTATATTATTATAAATTTTGTTTCGGGACACAGTATCTTTTTTGTCATGTAAAAATAAAAAAATATTCGCGTTGAAAGGAAGTTGTATTATTTTGTGCCTCCAAACCGGAAGTGGTGTCCTCGCGCTTGCCGCCTTGACGACGCGTCGCCAACCGCCGCCTCGGGCAGAAAAAGCCAACGGCTGTTGCTCGGTGAGCGTGGAGTGGGACCCGGCCGCGTACTTCCACCGTTTTTATGCTTATCTACAACTTAACAGCAAGTCAAATAATCGACGCTAACGCCTAGGGATTTACTAATAACACACCGAACGATGAATGGGAAGTCGGCGAACGGGTCCCTGGGAGGAATGGCCTGTATCGAGGGTCTGCCGCCGCTACCGAAGAGCCTCAGCGGGCTACTGAACTCGAGCGG